TAGCGTTTCATGAAATCAAGAATTACATAAGATACAATATAAATGTTATTGGCTTCCGGCCTCATCTCATACAAGTTAAATACATCATAAAAGGTGTACTTATATACACGTTACATATATGGAACCAAGCATACAAGTTTTGACATATAAGGTTACAAAATGACATTTCATGCTAACATTTGCATGAAATGGAAACTTAAAAGTTATAAGTCATCCAAAGAATGATGAGCATCACGAACCATGTCTTCATACCTGAAAAATGTCCCCAGTAACTTCGGGGCGAGTAACATAAAGCTACTCATAAGAAATGAGCATGCATTGACCTAGCATTTTACAAAATTATCACCTTAAGGTGAAACATGTCAAAGGGGCTCATGCCACCTAACGTGTATATCAAAGTGAGACTTAGGGATCATCTTAAGTTACTCATGCAATTGAAATGAACTATAGCATACAAGTATACATGGTCAAGTATACCAAATCGTATTAAAACATAATACACAACATATAAGCATACATATTCAAGTACCTTAAATCATGTTAAACAAGATAAGCAATATCTAATATACATACACAAGTATTCGATATATGTAGTGTACTCATAGATCAAGTATACAAGTACAAGTATACTAAGCTAAACGAAATACACAAAAGACAAGTATACATTACACAAGTATACTAAATGAAATTTAAACTCACGGAGCAAGTATGCAAGTTCAAGTATACTAAATAGGATTCAAATACCTAAAGTAATCTATGATTTACAACATGAAATGAAATATAAAATCAAATAGTGGAAAGACTAGGACATGTGGTTGCTAGACCAAGCAAGTATTTTAAGGTAATTACGACCCACAAGGTACCACCTAATGCGCACTTATGACTTAGAGGACACTTGTCCACGTACTAGAGCCAAACCCTAGCCATCACATAAATTATGTCTTCATAAGCTTTCAATAAGTTCAAAACTTATACAAAATCAAATGCAAGTTACCACATTCCATGCACAAGTAAGGTTGAATCCATTCAAACCATATCCTAGAATTCAAGTCTATATAGCATATGACATGTCATGTTCTCAATATGCAATTTATACCCAAAGTAAGAATATTTTTGAACCAAATTACCATTCTAAGCCACAAGTACTAAAAAAAACTACAATTTAGTAACTACCTTTCAAGGTAAACAATTGTAATATTCTAGCAAGCTATATACCTACACAAGATATATTTAAACAAGTCATGTAAGACAATGATATCCAATATCATGCTAAGTCCAATTCCTTAATTTAAACATAGAAATAATTTCAAAGACATATTTAAATCCATAGAACAAGTAGATAGAATTTAATTAACTAAAATAAACTCTCTAGATTTCAAATCAATCCCAAATAATCTCAAATTAATATATGTTAAGGGACATAGCATAGTCTTTACATATATCACATCAAATATCGAATCAAGTGATTAAAACACTTAAAATAAAATTAATTAAACTCATTAATTAATTTTCTCTAGATTTCCAAATAACTCCAAATGTCCTCAATTTTACATAGGTTGAAGAACATACCAAGGCCTATTTTAATATCACATTACAAGTTGATTTCATACCTATTACAACTATGTGAATTAATTTTTCACAAAAGATAAATATTAAATAAAATTTGCATTTCTTATTCAAATGCTCCCAATTTAATATATGTTGATATACATACCAAGGCCTAATTTACTAGCATGCCACAATTTAATTCTAAGGTACACACCTTCATGAGAATTAAATCTTAAATATAGAAAATAATTAAATGAAATTCTAAAACTTAAACAAAGGCATGCTTACAAGTTGTATATGTTTATATAACAATCAATACAACATTAATATAAACCTAAGACATCCCCTACTTCAATTTGAGATGAAAATCTCAAAAGCCACCAAAATGAAACGGTTCCGAATCCGACAATACTTCGGGGTTTTGTTGGGGATAACGCCGCGATCATTAAACTCCAAGGAGGACCTACCAAAATCCTAACTTGACCTCAAACCCAAACTCAAAAAATGGCCAAAAATAGGTTTCAATAAGGGGGAAAGATGCGCGTAGTCAAGACAAACACAAAACGCAAAGGCACTACGACTTTTTAACAACGGGAGGAAGTTTTAATTGAGAGAAGAAAGGTGGCATCCCCCTTGGGTTGCCATTGCAGCTGCTGGTCGTGCATGAAGAGAGGAGAAGGTCATTAATGAAATGTCTTACCCCCCTTTTATAGGAAAACCCTAGAAGTGCCTTGAAAGGGCCCCGACAAGTCCGAAAAAGTGAAATTTGAGCAGACGCGCTCAAATGACAAAACTCAATGAACGAAAAAGAACCAAAATGAGAAATATGAACAACAGAAGAAACAACGTCAAAAACTGAGTCCTGAACAGAGAGATATGCCCTGAAAAAGTTCGGCGACAACTGGGGCCAAAAACCCTGAAACTGGGGAAAAACGGCCAGAAGGCAATTCTAAGAGTACACGACTCGAAGAAAAGTGGAAATGAATCCCGTACAAGGATCCAAGCTCAAACGAGGCATTTTTGCAATAACTTTCATTAATTGCACAATGGCTCCTTCAAAAAGTAAAAACTGCACTAATGACCCAGAATGAAAATATCTTCCAAAAATATTTTCTTAAAAACCCTTGAAATAAAATATCTCCAAAAGATATTTACGAAAAACATCTCACGAAACAAAAATGTTTCTGAAGAGCTTTGTATCCATGCCCCTATGGACACCGAGAGTAACCAGAGTACTTTTCTACAAAAGTAAAGATACGTATTTTGTGGAAACCACTAAGGATGAAGGTACATAAAATCAAACATCAACTCCAAACACAAAAAGTGAGGTTGTGCCAACAAAGTGACAAACGAGAAAAAGACAAAATAGGGAAAAAGAAGAAAAGTTAATGGTGTTGAAAAATAAAAAATGTGGAAATGACTAGGTCCTTAAGGAAGCTGTCAATCCAAAGGAAAGAGTCTCAGAAACCATTTCTGAGCACTCGAGACAACACTAAGTGACAAGATACTGAACTCAGAAAAGAAATTTCAATGAAAAAAATTCATCCGTAAAATTCTGAGGAAAAAGGAAAGAAAGGAAATGATTAGGTCATTACAATTTAACAACATGCAAATTTATGAAATTTCATTTTATTCAAATCATTAGCATAGTAATTTAAATTATGCATTCCAAACCTCAAAGAATCTATATAAATAGATTTAAGACATTTAAAACACATTCAACATATGCAAGCATATACAGTATGTAAAAATCCCAGAAACAGTTCCCAGTGCCAAACTGGTCAACCAAAGTACGAAGCCAGTCGGCCAATACAGCTATTTCAGTTGATTAAAATACCCAGTTCGTTCGGCCGAAATACAACCTCTACCCCTCACTGTTGAGCCACTTCGGTCAACCGAAACATCAAACCGGTGACCAAACCCTCTGCGACAGACCAACTTCTGAGTCGTTACTTCAGACCTCCATTGTTGAAGATTCCAAGCTTACCAACTACGTCCCAGATTGTTCCCATGTTGATTTTAAAGCATATAAACATTTATATATCAATTTAAAACACATGCCATGCATCAAGTTATTTAAAACAACTAAAAATCATATAACCCATTACATATATCCAAGTACTGTAAATTAAGATTTTTAGCATGCGAATTAGTTTATTAAATCCAATTAAAAATCCTAGAATATGACTAAGCATGTATAGAACACAAGTCAAAGGAGAAGAGACAAAATTAGAACTTACCTTAGGGATTTTAGATTAAAAAAAACCCAAACTCCTTTTTCGTTTTCCTCTTCTTGCTTCCCTTTTTCTCTCTCTAAATTCAGCCTCTGATTTGTATGTGAATAGCCAAACTCTCTCTACAGACTTATAATTGTATATATATAGGTTTTATACAAAATAAACCCTACAAAAATCCTCATCCCATTCCAACTCTAATTTACTTAAGGATTAAGAAAAGAAAAAGAGAAGGAAAATACAATTAAGTATATATAAATATATACTAAGCCTGTAAAACTATATATATATATATATATATATAAACATAACATTAATAATTATATATACATATATATATAATCTGACTAACATAAATAATAATAGTAATATTATTAATAATGTAAATAAGAATAATAATAGTAATAATACAACTATCCTTAAATGTATATATATATTCCCATAAATATATATACAACAATCCATGGGTAATATCCGTACCCATTTATCCTCCTAGTCAAGTAGTCCATGCAACCCATTGGGTTGGTCCATTGTTACTATCCAAGTCTAACTCCTTTAAATATAAAATATAAAATAAAATAATTAAATTCTTACAATTAAATTACACATAACACAACATTAGACAAATAATTCAATTAAACAAACTAGATAAATATTTCAAATAAACACATAATCAGTTAATTCAAATAAACAATTAAATAAATAGCTAAGAAATCAAACAAATAATTAAAAATGAAGTTAAAATAAATAATTAAGTACCGAAACTATCCTTTTAAAATTAAGGGTATTACAGCCATTTGCTGTAAATTATGGTATAAACATTTACCCCCCAAATTTTGAACCTTTTGAATTTACTATAAGGAATTTAAATTATAGGAGTATAATAATTCTGAAAACACCAAAAATTTCAAAAAGTACCTAATATCACACAAATCTCCTAGGCAAAACTTTTCAACATAATTCTTTGTTGGTGGGTCCCAGTCACGTTGTTCCTCATGTGACTAAGATTTTTTTTCTTTCCTTTAGTAAAAACTTCTCCAATTATCTATGTAAAACTAACAACCAATCATTCTTTTCAAAGCTCTCCAACATCGTCGGCTTCAAACCACTTTTTATTTTTTTTAAAAAAATCCAATAGTTATCTCTAAATGGATGGCTTGGTAGGTGGAAACCATCATGATCATTAATACCTTTATATATACACCAATCACACTTTTCAAAGCTCTCAAACATCATCTGCTTCTTTGTTCTGCGAAAAAATATTTTTTTTTCCATTCCTAAGCTTCTCATGGCTCCCCCGCAAACTAAAAGTGTGACCAGATACTCAATTAGTGCTTAAGAAAAACCAAAATCTTGCCCGCCAAACTCACAAGTGCATGAAATCTCTCAAATTTCATCAAGATCCTCTTATTTTCCTTAGTCCAGAAACCATGGGATTAGGCCCAGCTTTTATAGATCAATTTCCAAAAGAACATGATGATTTCTATCCAATGGCAGAAAAATGTCTTCCCTACTCCAAGGACTTCACACCTCCCTAATCTAAATCCAGCAAAAGATCACCAAAACCAAAATTCAAACTCCAAAATTGGTATGTCCCTAAGAAGGATTGGAAAACTTGGGTTACCAGGCTTTCTAATGATAGAAATTTCATCACAGTGGAAGCGGCTTGGCAGTTACGACGCCATTCAATTGAGTAAGCTTTCTATAGAACTTGACTCTTCCCTGTTATTTTCTACTTTGTTCTTTTGGTTTGTAACAACCAACTCTCTTCATTTACGTTGTGGTATGATGTCACCAACCATAAGGGATATCTGTTGTATTACCGGACTGAAACCTTGTGGTCAAGAAATTAACTCATTGTTCGATAGTGGTCACATCTTCATCTTTCCCCTAAAGATAAGGGTACCAAAAATGTAGTAGCTGCTTATGGAGGATTCACAAAATTCTATAAAAAAAGACTGGCTAATTTTTAAAAATGAACACGTCGCTTTTCTGATTTGTTGGCTTACAAGAAGCCTTTTTTGTGTTCCCTCTTACCAAATAACCAAAGATTTTGTTCAAGTAGCCAATGATACTGAAGTTTCTCTTGCTCCTTTGGTACTATCTCACTTGTATCGGGGAATTGGTGACCTTCTTACCTTTAAATTTAGTCGGTGGCCTTCTCTGGATTTTTCAACTGTGGTTGAAAATATATTTTCCCGACCTTTCCCCAAATATGAAAGTCTCAACTGGTCCACCCCTTCCTTCTTTCAACTATGTCAAAACTTCATGGACCTCTCTGTCATTTCATGAATGTTTCTCTTTCTTCTATGATAAATGTGAGCGAAGATCTGCTAACGAGATAAACCTATTTTTACCACAAGCCGGTTCATTCCAACTTGGTTAGCCCTTCTCCCGGCATTTCTATAAAAAACATTTCAGAAGATAAGCAAACTGTTTAGGCCAATTTCTTGATTGTGCGAGACTTGCAATATGGTACGGCTAACTATACTTCTAGGAGTAGCCGTTGCGGAGTTGAATATTATAATCCTGCACAACTAGCTCATCAATTTGATATGACTCAGTTAATTCCCCTTCTGCCTAATGCTTCTTTTAATAGAAATTTTGACAAAAGAGTTAAATTTACCACTGAAGATTATTTAAGGCAGTTACAGAACGGTTTGAATGTTTGAAAGAAAGTTTCAAATTTTTGGGTTACATAGAAAACCCACAATCTTCTCTAGATTTTGACAAATGGTGGTAGGACTATATTGAATCCACAAGAAAGGAAAGCTACATTTCCATCCTAAAGAAACTGCTTAGCTTTTTCCAAGTAGCAAAGGAAACAAAGGAGAGAAATATTCTGAAAGTAAGATATGTATATGTATGTATACATATTTATTTATTTATTTTCTCCTTGTTTCTTCCTTACTTTTTTGGTGATGATGGTGCAGAACAAATGAGTGAATTTGAAGACGATCCAGAAGAAGAAGAAATTGTTGACAAGAAGAACAAGATCAAGGCGAAATATCTATGATCATTGAAGAAGAAGCAGAAGGTTTAGAAGATGTGGTTGAAGAATCGGATTCCGAAATGGATAAACAAGGCGTCAAAAGTGAAAACTACCAAGAAAAAGATCCTCTTGTCAAAGCCTAAGGAAAAACCAAAATTACTCATGGAATTGCACCGGCTAAGAAAAAGAAACTTACTCCAATCAAGGTAAAGTTTACCTTCTTATAATCCGTTTTACCATATGCCTCTTTGTAATGAAGTTCTTTGCTTGTAAACAGAAAAGACAAGTGGTAATTTCAAGTAGTAGTGATGACAGCAAGCTAGATACAGATAAATCTGATGATGAGAGCTACTCCAAAGAAACCCAATCCGCTGGTTTGATCAAAGTATGCATCTTCTGCCTTAGTCATCTACCATTTTCCTTCTCATTACTTTTTCTTTAACTTTGGCTCATTTAACAAAAAGAGAAAAATACTCCTAAGAAAACTCCTCAAAGGACAAGAACTCATTCGAAAGGCAATAAAAGAAAGATTCTTCCAGAACTAGAAAAGATAAAAATGGCCACAAAGGAGTAATCGGCCAAAAAGGTTAAAACCTTTAAACAAGCCGATTTGGTATGCGACTCTATTTAATGGGTTTTCATCATGTGGTCAATTTCTCTCTCTAATACTTTGTATTTGTATACAGAAAACTTCTTCGAAAGAAAACATTCTGGATTCTCCTTTAATAGGCTCAAACCTTCCACAATCAGGTCTTAATTAACAAAATTTCCTTATTCATGTTATTAGTACCGCAACTCCAGGAAACACTCAAATGCCAACCCATCAATCTCCATCTGTCATTGGACCACAAACTATTCAGTTTGGTGACTCCTCTACTGATCCAATTATATCTATTATGGAGGTATTTTTTAAAACTCTGTGTCTCTGAATCCTTTTTAATAAAAACAAATAAATAATAATATATTTTATTTGCAGCTTTCTAGAACTCCTTCTATGTCATCTTTTACCTCATTCCTTAGTCAAAAAAGGTCACTTCCAGCTCTTGGTGACCCCTTCAAAGCTATCCACACCACAGGCTCTGGAGGAAGTACTTCCAATTCAAGCTCAAGAATCCCAATTATTTCAGGACCTGAAGAAGCTTTCCAAGTTGCAAAAGGTCAACTACTGGGATATTTAAATAAAGATGTGACTGAAATACCTATCTTTTAGCATGACCTTACCACTGTCCTTGCTACCTGTGATGGCCCTGGTTTTTAGACCAATGCGTCAGTGATGAACAGGAAGGATGATCCGATAACAAATCTGAATGCGGAAGCGAAAACAGAAAACAAGACTCTAAGAAGTCAAAGTGACCTTCCATGAGGTCGTGGAACTCAACAAGAACTGATGCGGAAGCAAAAGATCGAAAATATGACAAATAAGCCCCTAAGGGCAAAATAGTCATTTCTGAAACTATAGATTCGGGTGCTACCGAGCACACCGCTAGAAGAACAACGAAAAACTAATCAAGCTGGACTCAAGAATCGCATGATTCGGAGTCCAGAAGGAAGGAGAAATGGCATGACGAAGAAAAACGAGCACTTAAAGCAAAAAGGGTAAACTGGTAATTATTCAGAAAGAATCGGGTGCAACTGACCACACCGTTGGAAAGACAGCAAAAAATTAGTCAAGTTCAAAAAAAAATTCACTTGAATCGAGTCCGGACGAAGGAGAAAAGCCCAAAAGAAGAATTGACGTCGCGGCGGCCCGACGAGGGGCCATGACAGCCCCATGCGCACGCCTATGCACGCCGCGCGCGCGTTGGGTGCACACATGGCTGGCAGCAGCCCATAAAGCTGCTGTATGGTTTTTTTTTCAAAAAAAATCCGGAACAGAGGCTGAATTTGGAGGCCTAGATGAATTTTTTTGCAAAAATACAAAGAAGAAACCCCCTTCAAAATTGAGTTTTCTACGTGATACGTGAGAGAATTCAAAAAAAACTCATTGTAAAATGGCCAAAATGCCCTCCCTAGAAATCTGGTCAAAAGAGCTAAAAAACTGCTAAAATGAAAACTGGAAGCTGAAACTTCACAAGCGATTTCCGGTACCAAGACGATGTTTTATGGAAAAATACGAAGAAGAAACCCTCCCTAAAATTACGTTTTCTAATCGACCATATCGAAAGAAGAAAATAAAACTGATGTGAAAGGTCTAAAATACCCCTAAATCAGATTATGCAACAAAACCTCAAAATGAGTTCCTAGGAGGCTCAAATTGCCAAGGAAGAGGTTTTTCTTGAAAACGATCATGCACACAAACGTAACTTACCAATTAGGACGTGCTACAATGGTCCATGGCTTAAAAATACTACCGATGCAAAATCCGACCCCCCAACGGGCAAAAAGGCAAAGATGAACAAGAAAAGGGAAATTTGAAAACCAAAATTAACAAATGATTTCAAATTACCGTTTGGCCCTTGGCCACACTTCATATATGATTAATGAGACCCTATGAAAGAATAAAAATGGAATTCCCACACCCGATGCAAGCATAGTGAAGCAATGACTCGGTATTTTTCAATATTTTCATAATATTTCATGAAGTTAAAAGTTACATAGGATATAAATTAGATGTCATTGGCCTATGGCCTCATCTCATACATGTCAAATACATTGTAAAAAGTGTACTTATGTACATATTACAAAAATAGAATCAAATTTACACATTTTGACATATAAAGCTATAAATGGCATTTCAAGCCAACATTTACAAGAAATGAGAACTTCTAGTCTACAAATCATCCAAGCATGATGTGAATCCCGAATCTTGATCCCGGTACCTGAAAAATGTCCCCACTATGTGGGTGAGTAACATAAAGCTACTCGTAGGAGATGAGCATGCATCGACCTAGCGTTTTATAATTATTTCACCTTAAGGTGAAACATGTCAAAGAGGCTCATGCCACTTAACGTCTATGTCAAGTGAGACTCAGGGATCATCCTAAGCTACTCATGCAATTTAAAGTGAACAACGGCATACAAGTATACATGCTCAAGTATACTAAATAATGTTAAACATGTTATACAACATATAAGCATACAATTACAAGTACACTAGGTCATGCTAAACAAGGTAAGCACTATCAAGCATACATCTCCAAGTATACTAAACCCTATTAAAACAACTCATGCAATGTCTAAACATACCTACACAAGTATACAATTAATACGGAAAGCTCATGAATCAAGTATACAAACACAAGCATACTAAACAAGATGAGTTGTACATAAAACAAGTATACATAGCACAAGTATACTAAATGAAACCTACACACACGGAATAAGTATATTAGCTCAAGTACACTAAAAGAGGCTCGAATACACAAACAAGTACACTAGTCCAAGATACTAAATAAGGTCAAAATACACGAAACAAGTATATAGTTCCAAGTATACTACATGAGATCAAAATACATGAAGCAAGTATACAGTCTCAAGTATACTAAATGAGATCCAAATACACAAGGCAAGCACTAATTCACAAGCTACAAGTAATCCATGATTAACAACTTGGAATGGAATCCGAAATCAAGAGTGGAAAGACTAGGACATGCGGTCACTAGACCAAGCAAGTATTTTTGGGTAATTACGACCCACAAGGCACTACCTAGTGCGCACATGTATAAGTTATTCAGGGTAATTACGACCCACAAGGTACTACCTAGTGCGCACTTATGACTTAGAAGACTTTTGCCTCCGTACTAGAGCCAAACCCTAGCCATCATATGAAATATGTCCTACAAGCTTTCCAAAATCAATAAGTTCAAAACTTATACCAAAATCAATAAGTTAGGCCAAACTTATATCAAATCCAATAATGCATAAAACCCATCTTCCATGCACAAGTAAGGTTGAATCCACACAAACCATGTCCTAGAATTCAAGTCTAAATAGCATATGACAAGTCATGTCCTCAATATGCAATTTATACATAAAGCAAGAATATTTTACAATAATTGAACCACATTACCATCCTAAGCCACAAGTACTAAATAGGCTACAATTTAGTATCAAGCTTTCAAGAAAATCAATTGTAATATTCTAACAAGTTATATACCTACACAAGATATATATAAACAAGTTATACAAGTCAATGATATTTTATATCATGCTAAGTCCAATTATCATTTCAAGATGTCTCAAGTGCTAATTCTATATCAAATTAATAACATGCTTACAAGGTGATTAAATAGACCACATTTCAAGGGATTATCAACATATTACCTCCAATATCAATTTAAGTGACCGACACACTTAAAATAAAATTAATTAAGCTCATTAATTAATTCTTCTCTAGATTTTCAAACATATCTAAATGTCCTCAATTTAATATATGTTAAAGAACTCACCAAGGCCTACTTTAATATCATATTACAAGTTGATTCCATGCTTGATACAACTAGGTGAATTAAACTTTCACAAAAGATAAATATTAAATAAAATTTGCAATTCTTATTCAAATAACTCCAATTTAATATATATCAACCACCATACCAAGGCCTAAATTTCTAGCATTCCACAATTTAATTCTAAGTTGCCTAGCATCATGAGAATTAAATCTTAAACAAAGAAAATAATTAAATTAAATTCTAAAAACTAGAACAAGGTATGCTCACAAGTTGTATATGCTTATAAAACAATCAATACAACAATAATATAAACCCAAGACACCCCCTACCTCAATTTGAGATGAAAATCTCAAAAGCCATCAAAACGAAACGGCTCCGAATCCGACAATACTTCGGGGTTTCGTAGGGGACAATGCCATTAACGATGAACTCCAAAGAGGACCCATGAAAATCACAACTTGACTTGAAAACCAAACTCAAAATTTGGCCAGAAATGGGTTCTAATAAGGGTGAAAGAAGCACGTAGTCAACATGAACACAAAACGCAAAGGCCCTACTATGTTCTAACAAAGAAATGAAGTTCAAATGAGGAGAGAGAAGGTGGCAGCCTCCCTTGGGTTGCCATGGAAGCTTCAGGTCGTGCAAGAGAGTGGGGAAGATGAAAAAATAAAATATCTCATTCCCCTTTTATAGAAATCTCAAAAAGTGCCTCGAACGGGCCCCGCCGGGTCTGGAAAAGTGAAATTTGAGCAGACGCGCTCAGATGATGAAACTCTATGAACAAAAAAGATTCGAAATGAGAAAATAAGAATAACGGAAGAAACGACGTCAAAAACTGAGTTCCGAGTAGAAAGTTATGCCCCAAACAAGTTTGGCGCAAATTGGGGCCAAAAATCCTGAAACTGGAAAACATCGACCAGAAGGGAGTTCTAAGAGTTTACGACTCAACGAAAAGTGAAAATGAATCCCGTACGAGGATCCAGGCTCAAAACAAGATAATTTGCAACAACTTTCATTAATTGCACAATGGTCCCCATAAAAAGGGTTAACTGCAAAACTGCCCCAGAATGAAAAAATCTTTCAAAAGATATTTTCTTAGATACTCCTGAAATAAAATATCTTCAAAAGATATTTACGAAAAACACCCCAAGAAAAGAAATTTATTTCAAAGAATTATGCATCCATGCCCCTACGGACACCGGGAGCAACCAGAGGACTTTCCTACAAAAGTAAAGATATGTATTTCGTGGAAACCACTCACGATAAAGATATGTGAAGTCAAAAACCAACTCCGAGCACAAGAAGTGAGATTTTTCCAACAAAGTGACAAACGGGGAAAAGACGAAATAGGGAAAAGGACGAAATAGGAATAAGGACAAAAAGTGAATAGTTTTGAAAAACGAAAATTGTGGAAATGACTCGGTCCTCAAAGGAAGTTGTCAATCCACGGAAAAGAGTCTCAGAAACCATTTCCGGGCACTCAAGACGACACTAAGTGATGAAAAACCATCCACAGAAAAGAAAAGACAATGGAAAAAATTTATCCGCAAAATTTGAGGAAAAAAGAAAAGGAAGAAAATGACCGGGTCATTACACTACCCTTTTGAAAAATCCTAGATTTTCAACTGAAATCAAAGCTATACCATGATGACCGCGTCTTCTTTTTCCTTTTTCAGTTTTTTCGGCATTCATTTATTTTTATTTTATTTTATTTATTTGTTTGTTTTATTCTTTTCCACGTTGCTTTAGGGTTTTGTTAAGCCCAAGGTAGGTTTCGATATCCGAAACCGATTTTCGACACCACGTGCATTGCATTATTTTATCTTTTATTGTCAATGTGTGTTTTAATTTAATAGAAAAGTATGCTCGTTTAATTATATATTTTGGGGGTATGGATGTATAGTTTCTTCGAAAACATTTTCGTTTTTCTTGGTTATTTGCGTAATTAAGTTTTCATGGTATTTTTATCTTAGGAACCTTTTTGCAATTATTTTTATGAGATATTTAGAAACGGGACCATTTTGCAATTTTTGAAAAGTGTGACAAGTGTCACCTTTTCCATGGACCATTTGTAAACTTTTGGGTAGAACACTTGGAAGCCTAGGATAGTGACAAGTGTAAGGCCTAGATTTAGCTTTGTGAGGAGGCCTAGGATCATGACAAGTGGAGGAGTGTGATGTGTGTGTGTGAGAGAGAGGTAGTGTTGGTATAGTATATGTGACTAACCATTCATTTTACTTAGTGGGAAATCTAGTAAAATGTATTGTCTTCCACCTTGCTCTCACCTAGCCACCATTGGAGACTTGTAAACCTGGCCTTGAAAGCTTGATTTCAAGCATCTTCCTTTAACCCTTTGGTCTTTCACTTCGAAGACAAAAGCTTCCTTACTCCATTGTCCACCACACCTTGTTTGGATTTCCATTTTTGCTTCTATTTCTCTTTGTTTCTAGAGATACAATTCTCGAGTGAGGTAGGGGTTGTCTTATGTTTATACTCTTATTGTATCTTTTGTTCCTTATTGTTGATATACATTGTATACATGTAATATGAAGTTCTAGGGTTGTATTAGATGAATATTGATTATATATAACCTAAGATTTCATTTTGTCGGCTTATATATGGTTTACCTCTTGTGTAGTTGTTGTTTCATTTAGTAGAAGGTTGATTTCTAATATTATTTGGTTGTTACAACTATAGTATTCTAGAATTGTTCTTGTCATTTAATGTGTTCTGAAATTATACTATGTTGTTGTTAAATTAGGGGTTTAAAGAATTCTATGTTAGCATGAATAAAATTCCTATGTTGATAACCTTGTAGTAGTGTTGTTGTATTCACCTTGTAAACTTGACATTGCAAATGCCATTGTAGCTTGAGGACTTAGGGCATTACTTGTGTGAATTTTGAAAATTGATGTGCATAAAAGGTGGTTAAATGCATTGTATAACTATGTAATAGTTGTAGTATTCTTGTTGATTTTAGAAATACTTGGGGTAAAGAAACTTTGACATAGATAGGGTAAGGCCCTAGTGCCGGGGGTACGAGTTCTCCTTAAATTATAGTGCACACTTTGGTGGTTCCTTGCGGACGAGTAGCCCAAAATAACTAATTGTCTTGTGTTATGAAGTTCATAACCGGATGCTGCCTCTAAGTTTTCCCTATTGATTAATTTCGCATTCATTTACAAGTTGACATTACTTTTGAAGTTGTAACTTGTTATTTTTCATTGGATGTTCCAATATATTTACGTGTATTACTTATTGTGGATTACTTTCAATTTGTTTCAATCATAGCTTAGGATGATCCCTTAACTTCCCCTTTGAAACTAGACGTTAGGAGGCATAATCCACATATGTTTGGTTTATATTACACATACAAAGAACCATTGAAACTTTAGGGTATACGCATATGCAGCGTCTTATTGAGTAATTCAATTACTCACCCTAGTTGATATTTGTTTTTCAGGCAAGGAGGTACTTTTCTTGGATGCGAACCATCCATAGCTTGACTTATGTTTACATTTTGATTATCTTTTGTTTTATGCTCACATGCAAATTATTTATCATGTTGTATGCATCTTTTGGGAATATTGATGTTTATGTGTAATATATGGTACTTCAATCTCTTTTGAAGGAGGAAATAGAAGTGGGACTAGTTAACCTTTTGGTTGAGTCCGAAGGTCATTTCTGCTCTAGTTCTTCTTTTGTGTAATCATAGAGCCATTGTATTTCATTTTCACTTGTATTCAACACTTGTATGTATGCTCACCCACTTACACACGCTTAAAATTTCATGTAAGACCAATTCATGATGGGGATTAAGGCTTGTATGAACCCTTTTCATTTCTGGTGCATAGAAGATTTCCTGCACTTTCTCGAGCCATTTCGGTTGACCAAAATGCTATTTCAAACGATCGGTTGCTTTTGTGATTTAATTGAACAGTTAATATGCATTTTCTAGTAGCTTAAGTCCTATAAACAATATTTCTGAATACTTCGTAGAGCAAAAAGACGATGCCCCTTTCTATGTGTTTAGAAAACGAACTTTGTAATGCGAGAGGTCGCTTCACAAGGTCAAAATATGAATGTGGTTTAAAAAGACTTTCTAGTCAAATTTACATTTATAAAAACCACTACTACAACTAATGAATTATAGTGAGTAGGGATCTTTCACAAAGATTATGTGTTGGAATTTAATTTTGACTCTAATGTATCAATTGATTGCAAAGAGAGATTAGTCGATTAAACTAAGATGCAAGGAAATTAAAATGCAATTAAAATAAAACTAAGTAGAGATAGGGATTTAAGAGATGAGAAGTGAGGTCTTGGGGTGTATCGGAATTGCCACCAAGCTTGTTCACCAAACCACACACTTTCAATTAATTTGGGGAAAACCTTCTTGTGAACAAAATGCCACTACCAATTGCAATATTAAGCATGGACCATCAAATTCAATAATGTATTGTCTACCTAATCGACAAATAAACTTAGTGTAGCACAACCCATCAATTCTAAGTATGACCATCAAACTAGTCACAATTATAGCACACATCAATCTAGAGAATCATGGAATTTGCAACAACAATAAGCCATGGAATATCAAATCAAGTAAAGATTGTCTACCTACCTATAAGCATGACTTAAATTGTAGAACAACCCATCAAACATAAGAATAATCCATCAAATTAATTGACAAACTCATCTAATAAAAACCATGTCTAGCTATCACTAGATTCTCAATCAACCACACATAGACATGCAATTAATATAGAAAAATTAGTGTAGAGATCAATTCCCAAATAATCACGCATAAGACAACATATAATCATATAGAGAATCAATAGGAAGAATTAAACCATATGAATCATGTGAGACATAATTCCCAATTTAATCACACATAGACATATAAATAAACTATAGAATTAAAAGGAAGAATTAAATCATAAAATTCATAGAAATAAACCAAGATTCATTTTATTCACAAGACTATAACACTAATCAGAAGATAAATTCCCCAAAAAGTATGAAAGAGATAGAGGTTTAGATTACAAACTTGGGGCTTACCCAAGTAGAAGAAGTCTAGCCAATCATGGAGGAGGTAGATGTGATCTTGGAACCCTCAAGGGCAATCCCCAAACATGGCTCCATCTTCTTCCTCCTCTTCTTTGTTGAATTCTAGAAAGAGAAAGTGTGTAGATCTAGAGATGTTTTCTAGGTGCCTCCACTCCTCTCTTTTCTTCTAACCCTAATCTCTAATTTTTCTAGAGAGAGAAAATAAAAATTATAATGTAAAATTAAAATGATAAAAAGCTCCCTTACAAAATGGTTCATTTAGATTATATATAAGCCTCTTCGAGTAGGCACCAAGTCAGAAATATAGCCAATGATTGGAGGAAATTCACAGCTACACAAGTTAGCTAGAGATTGGCGCGCTCAGGAATTGGACAGCACACTGTCAGCAGTCAGTTCAATCGATCGAAGATTTTTGATCGATCAAACACTTAGCTTTGATCGATCAAAGCTGACGTGGCATTAAAATACCTTCTGGGCCTTATCCACTTTGCTAAGCTGCCGTCGCCTCATTTCGATCGATTGTAGACCTCTTCGATCGATCGGGATTCCCTTCGATCGATTGAAGCTCCTCTGGTGCATTTTCTTGGCTTCTTTCCAACTTTGCTCCTTAGCTCCAAAATTGAGGTAAATGGCTCTTTTTAGCCTATTTGAACTTTATTGACCTGAAATAGGCAAAAACACAAATAAATATATAAGACATAAAAGTAAGATAGATGAATGGACTAAAACGCCCTCGCTTAGGTGCTAAAATACGTCACATTTGAGCACTCATCACACCCCCAAACTTAGATATTGCTAGTCCCTAGTAATAAACTACGAAGTAAAGAAAGCAATGAACAACTAAACAACTTCGAACTAGAAAGCAATAAAAGGATAACGCCACTTTCATAGGGAACACGATTGCATTTAGCATATGCAACTAGCCTTTTAAACCCCTAGGTTACCCCTAGTGGACGAGTGAAGTCTCGTGAGAGTTTCCAGAAATTATACCCACAAACATTGAGCTCTTTCTCACTAAAGAGGTACCAATATACAAAACAAGTATTAGGAGAAAACTATCTCAACTATGTAATTTTTCAACCATTTCTAAGCAATCTCCCAAAATCTCAACACCAAGCAAGCAAATATGGTCCTCCACACATCAAAAAAATGATCATGCAAGTCAAAACAACTCTAGAATCCTTTTTGAGTGAACCAACATTAAATATGTTGCTATCTAAGCCAACTAAAGAAATTATCACATCCTTACCCTTAAACTAACACACAAATCTAGTCCCAAATATCAAAATAAAGAGTAGACCTTTTATTAAAGCTTTATTCATCTAGGTGTACTCATTCTTTTCACTTTATTAATATTTTTTTTTATCCTAGAGGATCAAAGATGGAAGCATGGTGCAATGTGTTGATCTATTAAACTTTCTAGCGATCCATGAGGCCGAGCGTTAGGTCAATGACTCCCAAATCGGATGGCTTTAGGGCACTAGGTGTTTAAACACCCCAAAGGACTTACAAGCTCAAATCAACTAGGCTACAAATCAAAACAACCTCCATCTAATCATTTCCCACTTCTCATCTTTGGGAGAAGTCCTCACTTTTTTTATTTTTGCTTTTGCAACTTTTTTTTTTTTTTTTTCAATATTCAATTATTAACCTAGAGTTTGGGCCCTCCACCTTTCGGTGTGAGAAATTTAGTGCTTGATGAGGCTAGAATCCCGGCTACTCAATGAAAATGGTTTGTTATCCATTTTTGTCAAAATGAAAGCTTTTAATACACTACTAGCTCAATTGGGATATAACCAAATCAATAATCAACAAAGCTTGTACCCCACAAATGAATGCTAATGTGCGTCTGTGCTAGTGTAAAATTCTAGAATGAATCTCAAAACAATCACAAAATCAGGATGATGTGGACCATAAATGCAAGCAAGATATCAATTTTTTGAAAAATTTACTTCTAAATGGCATCCACAAGGCATACAAAGAGTATTGGACTCTCAAGCCAAGCAATTTTTAAATTCTAAGTATCATGGTCCTCAAAAGATCAAAATCATCGCTAATAAGGATTTCACATCTCAATCATGCAATTAAAACTCCAACTTAAGTAGAATGCAACAAAGTCACCTTACTCCGAAACTTAAACTGCACATTGTCCTCAATGTGCAATGAGAACAATGGAAAAGATGGAAAGAATATACTGTGGTGGCAAAGACATGAAGCCCGGTAGTGATCCATTGGGAAAGAGTGCACCCCCAAACTTGGAATCAACAACCTACTTGAATACCCACACTAGCAAACTCACATCAAATATCAAATGGGATAAAGATAACCAAATCAAGCATTCTAAGAAAATATAGCACAATATGCAAGAGAGATAAGAGATTAAGCCCTAGATAAAACATGAAAATAGCATGACTACACATAAGGGCACAATGGTGAAGCAAATTTTTTTGTATTTTTCATTTAATGAAAGCAAGTATATACAAAATGCAAGAAAAGCAAAGAATAAAATGCATGAACAAAATACAAAAAGAAAAATAAAAAAGGTAAAATGCAATGAAAGAATATATACAATGGAAGAAATGAAAAACAAAAAGTAAGAAAAGATGTAAGAACAAAATAATGAAAAATGAAAATAAAAACTCTTTTTGTTTTTATTTTAATTTTTTTCTTTTTTATTATTTATTTATTTTTTTAGACATAACAAGTATGTACACACACAAAAATAAAACAAATAAACATATAAGGAATGAAAATTCAATTAAATAATGGATGTAATTTTTTTTATTTATGAACAGTGCTCGATTGATCGAAATGTACTTCAATCGATCGAGCTGGGCCATGATCGATCGAAAACGTAAACATTATTGCCCTAGGATCAAAAATTTCCGACACAATTTCGATCGATCGAAATTATTTTCAATCGATTGAGACCATTTTTTTTATCGATCGGAAGAAACGTTGATCGATTGAGAAAGTCTTTGATCGATAGAACTGCCTAGGCACAAATAGCTGAATTTCGAAAAAAATTCAAAGGCAGAAATTTTCTAAGGCCCCAAAATGCATGAATATAGTCTAAAAACCTGATTTTTGACAATAAAGTGCAATGGAACATATCTAGACACCGCAAGAAGTAAAAAAAACATTAAAAAAAAAATGTGGAAGGAATAGAGTTATGAAACTCTACGAATGCTATTGTTTAACGTCTCTAGCAAGATGTTGATTTGACTCACTAGTCGAACGTATCAAAAATTGGATATAAAACATCCTCATTCACCCTCTTTTCCATTTTCTCATTTAATGCCTCACTTACAACAATATACACATCCTCCAAAATGATGACTTGAAAAGAAATTATGAAATATGCAATTTGTTTCCTTTCATCCACGGTCTTGAAAATAAAATCAATGATGATCGGCCTTACACTTAGCAAGGCAAAGTCTTTCAAAGACTCAATTGGAATATCAAGAAACACCTTCTCTTCATCCTTTTTTTTCTTCCTCAAAAATCACTATCTCTTCACCTTCCAAGTTAGCTAAGGAGTCCATTAGAGAGTTCATTTCATTTTTGGAGCTTTCAAGGTCAAAACCACAATTTTTATATATTTCAAAAGTGTAATGACCCGGTTATTTTCCTTCCTTTCTTTTTTTTTGGAAATTCTTTTTTCGTCTTTTCCCTATTTTGTCCTTTAGTCGTTTTTTCATTTTTCCTTGTATAACCTCACTCTTTGTGCTCGGATTTG